GTGTAATATCGGTAAATATCAGTTATCAGCCATAACAGCAATAATTATATCGGATATCGATATCGGTTGAAATTTTCATATCGGTGGAACCCTAATTTTGATTTCATAGAAATGCTTGTCAGTACGTATTAACATATCAGACAAGGTACAGGCATCTGCAATGATGTTAGCAGGCAGAAGCTAACCAATAAAAAAACTAATATTAAGAGCAATTCTACAGAAATCTATTCATAATGTATTGTTTACATCGACAGCCTTCCATTATACCAATATAATACTCGTACCACAGCGGTCAATCTCAGAGATGCATGTGACGCCTCTAGTCAATGCACCTCATTGGGTGTTACCCCTGGCATCACAGTGTGGAGGYCCATAGGGTCTGACTTTAGGTTGCCACTGGTAGTGATTCTGGGATTCTCATAGCCTGTCACCATGTCAGTGACCTCCTGTYCACGTCTTACCCCTCCTGGTACAATCATTTAACAGGACAACACCTATCTACACATGTCACGTGGGTCATATCCATAGTTCCTGTGGCCACCGAGGCCCCACAATCTTTCCTTAGCTAACTCATAGAGCACAGTATGGCTGGCATCGTTCTGGTCCACACAATGCATCCAATATCACAAAGAATGATGACCCTTTGGTGGCYCAGATGTGGTTTGCCAGAGGTGGTCCATGCATGGGCCAGGACCACATAAACCAAASCACAACTGGGCCAGTTGTGGCATGCCATTTTAATTGCAGTGCTGTACCCCACTGACATGGAACCAGCTCTGTACCCGCGCAGCCACCTCAGTTATTTATTGGATCTATGTTGTCACTGTAATACAGACACGATTTGTCCATATGTCATTTCCATCACCTCATCTGGGTTCTAGACTTCAGCAATAGTGAGAGTAATTAACTTSATGGTCTTTAAAGGCTTTAAGTTGTATTTTAAACATGAGAGTTAATTAGCTTTAGTGCGACATGACAAACTTACCCTATAATGTCCACCGTGTCCTGTGATCCCCTCACACTGCTGTCAACAGAGAGACTAAGACAAAAAAAAGGYGCATAAGATTGTTTTATTTACCGTATTTTATCAAAAGAGAAAATTTGATTTCTGTTACTACACCAACAAGTATATTTGTCTATTTAAAAAGTATGTAAATGTTTACTGGGAGCCATTTTTTAAGCTATTCTTGATACACACCGGTTAGGTCTGTCACGAGAAGCTGGTCCTTCCTGAATTAAAACACACACACACACACACACACACATAGTGAGATTGACAAGCTTCATTTTCACCTCTTTAAGGCAGCCAATCAGTGCAGTGCAGACATCAATAAAGGGGCAGATGCTCCAACAAGAGACGGAGCAAAGACCCAGAGGTGGAGAGGTTTAAAGGATTCCAGAGTACAACACAGCTCGACAGGAAGTAAGTGAGAAACAAGCATGATAAAAACCCAAATTATTACATKTACCAGATGTGGCAGTTTTATGGCAACTTTAAGATTCTTGAACCCCTTCTTTTTTTCAGGGTTGCTTAGGTCTTCAAAAGGATGGACGGCTTTCCATGACTTGAGATACTGAGACATTCGGAGAGATGCMCGCTTCTTGGTCTCTTCTGTTATAAGCCTGTTGACCTGAAATTACAGCAAAGTTTACTGAAACTTTGAACATCGGCTTTGTTTTTGTCAAGGTGAATTTTGTTTTAAATCAAATGACAATGTGCAAAAGTCATGCTGTTTAAGRAGAAATTAGTCTAAATATCTGCATTGGATACAATTAAAAAAATGTACAAGTCCTACAGTCGTGCTGACACCTACTGCTTTAGGCCTCTGGGAAATATTGTGTGGCTTGTTGGGGTCAATCACAAGGTATGTTTTTTTCCCCTTAAGATGAGGGTTACGACTTTCTCCATTCCCATCTTCCACCTCGTATTTTCCATTCAGGTGCTGTAGTGTTTCCTCCGTTATGTGGACGCGCCTTTATAATACAAACAACAACACAAAAACTACCTATAAAAACGTMTTGTAGCTAAATACACAGAAACCGTTTATTGTACTGTTTTGAGAATACAGTCGAACCAGGTCAAAGTTCAACCACTAGAGGTGGATAATTTCTTACCCAGGAACACCCCCYGACTCCATCTGATTGGCCAAAGTGGCATCATCTGACCACACGTCATACTGCCACTTCTGCAGGCCAATCACACCCGAGAGCACGTTACCAGTGTGAACGCCAACTCTCATGTTGATGTCCACCTCCGTCACCTCTCGCAGGTCGCTTTAGAGAGACAAACGCTGTTAAAATCAGAGCGCAGTGTTGAAGAGTCTCATGCTAATGGTTTCAAACAGCTCGACAGGTTTAGGGGTATCCATCCATCCATCCATCCATCCATCCATCCATCCATCCATCCATCCATCCATCCATTTATCATCCATCCATCCATCCATCCATCCATCCATCCATCCATTTATCATCCATCCATCCATCCATCCATCCATCCATCCATCCATTTATCATCCATCCATCCATCCATCCATTTAACCATCCATCTATCCATCCATCCATCCATCCATTTATCATCCATCCATCCATCCATCCATCCATCCATCCATCCATCTATCCATCCATCCATCCATCCATCATGCAAACTCCACACAGAAATCCCCAGGTGACCCCACTCTATCAATAATTTCAGGTTGGGCAAAATTCTATGGATTGCCTACTTCCAAGTCAAAAAACTTCATTCAGCTTTCCTGTCTTTTTATTTTCTTCTTCCTGTAGATTTTTTTGGTTCTTGTCAAATAATTTCAGGCATGAGTCAAAGAAGTTTGGGGGTCTCATGTCTGTTTGGCGTGATGAGAGACCAGAGGGTGGATTCAGGCATTTTCTCCATAAATCTGCCCAATTTTTGTAAAATAATTATCATAAATGATTTTATTTGGCCTATCAACACAATTTAAAAACTGCTGCATAGTTTGTCAAATTTGTACTTTCGACACAAAATGCTACGGAATCATAGCGAGTGTATCTTTTCCACTAGAGTGATTTAAATCAGTCATGTGACTAGGACCTGCCAGGGTTCAGGGACTCATCGTCATTAATCGTTACACCACAATTAATCATGATTAATGTCTTTTGCTAATATCGCMCAACCCTACRTAATACAGTATGAACAGTGTAGTAAACAACATTAAAACGTGTTAAAATGTGYCTTTTATTTTGTGYATTCAAACTGTTCTCAAATTGTTTTCTAAAGTACCACAGGTGGTACACAAGAGCCGTTTAGTGAAGAGGTGGGCCACAGAAGAAACTGGGACTGTTGTAAAGTCCTGGACCAACAGGTTTGACTAAATACAGATAATTTATTTTTTTAGAATAAAAACAGTATTTGTCAGCTAATAGTAAGCATCTAAACTGGGCAATAAAAACTGAACCAGTCATAACAATAATTTTAACTTTAAATCTGTTCCTGTTCAGGGTCATGGGGAATTGGAGTCTACCTCCTGTGGTCTTTGTGTGAGAGGGGCACATACAGGGTCACAAAAACAAGGCAGTCAACCATTCACACACTCTTTTAGGAGCAGTTTTGAGTTATCAGTTAACCTACCCTGCATGTTTTTGGATTGTGAGAGGAAACCAGATTAGCTGCACCTTTCAACCAGGGTTAGGGTTGGGAGTTTGGCAAGTTTGCTCATTTATGCCAAATATAAATATAAACTTGTACTACTCTTTTACATGAACAGAGTAAAAACATTTTTTTTGTCAACTGCTGTTTCTTGAAGTGTTTAGTCTTTTTTTGTGGTGGCACTAAGAAAACTTAGAAGCATCTGATGTATTCTTCACTACACTTTATGTACCAAACCTTTAGGTTACAGTTTGCTACATTTACATGGACCGTTCCACCTCTATGAACTATGATGAAAAGGTGCACAGAACTGAGTCCAAACCGAGGCTCAGTCCAAACCTTTGAAAGTGATTTTTAAAAAAATATTTCCTTCTGTGACTGATGTAGCCTAAAAAGGCTGATAATTATTTCAAGCATCTAAAATTATTAGTTATTATTATTGTATGCATTTAAATGCATTAATAGTGAGTTCAGATTTGTTTTCATTTTCAAAGCTGCAAGGGAATTGAAAAAAAAGGACACAAAAAGTTGGCAGTTCTCCCAAAACAACAGCCACAGATCAGATAAATAAAGAAACTGACTTGATGGCAGTGCACATGTCCAGCCCCATCTGAACACAGTTCTCAGCGTGGGTGGAAATGGGGTCCGGCAGACCGGACACACAGTAGTAGCAGTCACCCAGGATCTTGATGCGAAGACAGCCGTTCTTCTGCACGCACAAAGAAACGGAGACGTTCTGCAGGGTGGATATTACAAAACTGACGCAATAAAAAGCCCAAAGAACAGCTTGAGTGGTTTCTTGAACAAATGTTGACATTTTACCTTTGCGATCTCATCAAATTTGCCAAAAAGCTTATTGAGAACAGAGACCAGTTCCTCTGGAGAACAGGTACTGGCCAGCTTTGTGAAGCCCACRATGTCTGCATACAGGATGCTACACAAACACATACAGAAATTACACAYGCTCATTTAACAACACAAAAATATACAAAAACAAACGTGACATCAACTAAATAGATTGTGGGTTAACTTGGCAGCATGGTGGCTCAGTGGTTGGTTACAGGACGATTCCTCAACACTTCACCACAAATGAAGATCCTGTTTGCCTTCAGGACCAGGCCTCCATGCAAAAAAGATCTCTGACCTCAAWGAGATTTTCCTGGATAAATAACGGTAAAATAAAATAAATAAAGGGCTATAATTCATTTCTTCATCTTGCTCGGTCACTCAGTAAAGACAGCCTGCTCTTGTAAGATTTCCACAGGTTCCGTACTCCTTCCATTTCTTGATTTATCAGAACTCCTGGGAATGATTAGAACCATGGAAATACTTTTGTACCCATCCCCTGACATGCACCTTTCTATGATCTTTTCTCTTAGTTCTTCTGTCTTCATAGTATAATGATAGACAAAAATATTGATTAACCAGTGCAGAGACATTTTAGACACTGGTGTCTTCAGACACCTCCACTGCCTTCAGGTGATCTCCATCTCACTAACTGTGAAACAACTGGAACCAAGTGGTTGGACCTGTGTTGAATTAGGACAGTTGTTTTAAAGGAGGTGAATATTTGTGACCCATCACATCGAAACGAGGATTAAGTCCAAAAGTGGAATATGGAGAATTAGGCAAATATAGTGTTTTGACTAAAATGTTAACAAAAATTGCATTTTGTCAAAATATAATGAATAAATGCCTTATTAATGTATCATTTGAATGAACTGTCTGAAATATAATCATAAAACAAAAAA